CACGCTGCTCGAACGGGCGTTTTAACTTTAACCCGTCCTCAGCCCGCTCCGACGTACGTTCGCGGCCTGGCCCGGTGCATTCCCCTCCCTGCCCCGCGCCTTGCTGCGTTCCAGGAGTTCCTGCCCTTAACAACGTGCCGGGGTGTTGCTGGGAGCCCTTCCCACCACGGGCGGAGGGTGCTGGAGCAGCCAAGAGCGATGGCAGGGGGAGGAGGAGAACATGTTTTAAAAGGATAAATTAGAAATTAAGAGATTAGTATTTCATAGCCCTAGTTTAAAACAGGTTTCAGATACTAGCTTTTAATGCTGCTTACAAATCTTTACTACTGTTAACTGACTAAAGCAACAAGTACTAGCAGGTAGTAACATTTTTATTGTTTAATTAATTATAAATGCCATTTTCTTAAATAAGATATTTTGGGGTTTAGGTCTCAGGATGACGTTTGTCATAGAGGTGAAAACTTGACAGTTATGTATATAGCTGCATTTGTAATTGTCTTGTTTTTAAGCTGATGGATGGTACATTGGTTGTTCAGTAGGTGACATAATGCTGGACACTGTATTTTTGCTAAAGTTAGGGGAGTCTGTCTAGTTATGTGTAGAGCGAAGGTGAGTCCAGGGCCCCCTATGAAGAGGGTGGTAGGATGCAAGTACCCGGTCAGATGATATTGTCCAGGGCAGCCAGCAGACCTGTCCATACTTACTGTAATAAAGCGTAAATCCTCTTCCCTGTGAGGGTGCTGAGGCGCTGGCACAGGGTGCCCAGAGAAGCTGTGGCTGCCCCATCCCTGGCAGTGTTCAAGGCCAGGTTGGACACAGGGGCTTGGAGCAACCTGCTCTAGTGGAAGGTGTCCCTGCCCGTGGCAGGGGGTTTGAACTGGATGAGCTTTAAGGTCCTTCCAACACAAACCAGTCTGTGATGAAGTGATTTAGAAAATATGATATTTTAGTTATTCACAATTTGGTAGTTTATTCCTTTGGCAGCAAGAATGACATAACATGGAACATGAGGGTTGATCAGGCCTGTGCTTTGCAGAGTGTTGGAATCCCCACCTCGGGGACAGGAAGCACTTTGGTGGTCAAAGAGCGAGTCTGAACTGCTTTTGTGGTATACATGATATAAAAGTGGTGGTAGGCTCTTAGTGTTATTTGAATATGTGTTAGACAGATGAGTAACATCAAAAGTTACCATGTGTGGTAAATAATTTTTTTTAGCAGTAGCTGGGCAGGGTTGTTTTTTTTTTTTTTCCCTTCAGGTTCCCTAAATACCAACTGAAGCTGCACTAAAACATCATTTACTGGTCACCCTGTTCTGCATTGGTCTCTTAGTGGAGAAATTTTGTTGCTTCTGTACCAAACTCTTTGAACCTGGTTGCTGGTGAGATCGGCATACTTGAATTGATGTGACAGCCTTGTGTTGTATAACAAATCCCTGTCTAGACTTGCCCAGAATAGACACTGGCCTGTTAATAGGAAAGTCTGTTACACATTTTGTCAGATTTTTAAGTACGCAGCTCCAGTCCTTTGCAACTTCTTGAGAGGTATAAAGTTTTTGGCAAGGATAATACTACCATAGACAGGATAGGCAAAAAGATCTCTGGAGCTGAATAGGGATTTTTGATTGTGTGGCTGTGACTAATAGTAAGCAAATGTTTTGATGTTGAACCTTGGAAATCGTTTTGTTTTGCAGCATCATTGAGAAGGGTGAAGAAAATTGTGGGCACCTCATTGAAGCTCACAAAGAGTGTTTGAGAGCCCTGGGCTTCAAGATATGAGATGAGCAGGACTGTGAATGTGGTGAGTACAGCCTGCAGGACCTCTGCCTCTGAAGTGCCCTGGTGTCTCAGGTGGTGCTGCTGGAAGGCCCAGAGTACTGTTTGTGATGGCAAAAGTGTCTTCCTTGTGAGAGGGAAGGCAAAGTACTCCTTATTGATACTGGAGTCCTCATTAGGGTGGTGAAGCCTTCTGGCAGCTTTTGTGAGTAGCTCTTCAGCAACAGAGTATAGTTCTGCCTCTGTTGTCTTCCAGTAGATCCAGACGTCACCTTGGATTTCTAATGCTAAGGTTGGGGGGTTGGGTTTTGTGGGTTTGTTGGTGGTTAGTTTGCTTGGGAGTATTTTTATCTTTGAACTGTCCCTCAATATGCAGTGAAAATCCATGTTTTGTGAAGCTGTCTTTCCTCTCTCTTCTAGATGATGTCTGTGGTGTGACTGTGTTCTGGAAAGCTTCAAGATAAATTATTTCTGCAAGTTACTTCAAAGAGCAAATATAAACAAAGAATCTATTTATAAAGAGTTGATAATGATAGACTGTTTGTCACATCTGTGGCTTTTCCACTGTTAGCTCTTGATCACTGCTATAGAAAATATATTTTTTTCCTCTTAATAAAAGTCTGAAAATGACCAGTGTTCCTGACTTCTATTTCTTTTTAAATAGGGAAATGGCAGTGCTCCCCTCATTGGAAACAGCATGCTGTAGGAGTGGAGGGAGTGAGAAAAGCCTGCTTGCTCATTGACATGAGAACACTGATGCCTCCGATGTGGTTGAACATATGAGCCCTTGGTGGGTTTTCCCACTGATACAAATTGAGAAGTCATGCTAATAACACTGACCTGTTACTGCTTTCAGCAAAGCTGGAGCCTGTAGTGCTATTTGTGATGGTAGGTATAACTGTATTCATACCAAAAGATGACCACAGCCTTATGAAATGAACTTTCCTTAGAGTCAAAACTAGATTTGCTTTCCCCTGTTAGAATTCTTCCAACTTCTTTTGAATAGCTTTACCCTAGGATTCAAGGTGCGTTATTTCTAATTTTATCATATTAAATTCTTGAGTCAGTGGTTCATAAAGGGAAAGGGAGCAGAGGACCACAGGTGTATGTAAAGTAAATTTGCCTGGAAAACAAAGCTTTTTTTATGCCAATATTTGTTGTGATGGAGGTCTTGTGCTAGGCGTGCATGGGCTTTTGTTTTCTAAATGTTGTTTTCCTCGCCTGTGTAACATGACAGTGGGAAGGCGCTTGTGGCCTTTGATTCCTTTGTGCAATCTAGAGCCAAAAGAGTGCAGTTGGTACTTTGTTACACCTGTGGAGGGACTTTGGTTTCATACTATGTTGCTGTGCGACATATATATATGTGCAACATATAGTGGTGGTGGTTTTCCTTCGGTGAGTTGACTTTGCTTAAGACAGCATCACCGATTGCTTCCTTCTCCTGCTGAGTTTTCTTTTCAGAGATTGAAGATACAAAATCTCTGCTTTGTCTTGATTCTTCTCTTGGCTTTGATCCTGTTGGAGGGTTGGGTGCAGTCAAATCACATTGTTTCTCTCCTGGGCTCTGCATGTTCTGAGTTAGCAATGAATAGGCTGTGAGTGGTTAGTGTGTAGTGCTCTGTGGTGTCTCTGCTGAGACTCACAAGTTGTGTGAGGAGGGTTTTGACTCCGCTTCCGGGAATGTTTCGTGAAGGTCCTGGTGTCTGAGGAAATGCACTTGAAAATGCCTGCAGGGGACAGGCTGAACTGTTAAGGCTTAGTTCTCTGCTGCTTGTCTTCTCTCCTGTCTTGAGGTAAGAGTTGTGCCCTTGTTGGTTTCCAGCCTATGAGAAGGGACGTAGGTGGAGGTCTTGCAAAAAGTGTTTGAAGTTTCTGTTTTCCATTATCTAAAAGGGGCTACAGGAAACCTGGAGAAGGGCTTTGGACAAGGGCCTGTAAGGACAGGACAAGGGGGAATGGCTTTAACCTGCCAGAGGGGAGATTGAGATGAGCTCTGAGGCAGAAGTTCTTCCCTGTGAGGGTGCTGAGGCGCTGGCACAGGGTGCCCAGAGAAGCTGTGGCTGCCCCATCCCTGGCAGTGTTCAAGGCCAGGGTGGACACAGGGGCTTGGAGCAACCTGCTCTAGTGGAAGGTGTCCCTGCTCGCGTCAGGGGTTGGAATTGGATGAGCTTTGAGGTCCTTTCCATCACAGAGCAGTCTGTGATTCTCTGAAAGCCTTTTGTGTTGCTCTAGCTGCCTGGGGAGCAGGACCCAGTGCTCCTCTTGGCGTTTATTGTTATCTTGAGGTGGAAACTTAAATAATGTTATTTATTTTTGAATCAATGTGTGTCATAGCTTGAACTGAAGAGAACGTTAAAAGGTGGGTGAGCACCAGCCTTGTGCTAGCATGTCCAGTCTGGGTAAACTGTGGAAATCGTGTTACAGAGTAAAGAGCAGGGCAGGGGTCACAAGTGGTCAAGTGAGAACAACGTGCTATTGAATCAGGTCAAGACAGGGAAAATTGAGTTTACAGAATTTACAAATTCTGTAAGCTCAAGAAATGCGACATCTTGGCCTGTCTAAAGGTAAAAGCATGGTGAGATACTATGGAAAGCTTTTGGAAGGAAGATGATGAGTGGGATGCTGTGATACCCACATGCAACGTGCACAGAAAGGGTACTGGACAACTCTATACTTAAAGCAACAATGGAAAAACCTTGTAGTCAAATCACATTTCTTACTGAGTGGCTTAATTTGTTGCTCCAGGATTCCTGCGGAGTGGATTCAAGGCTTGATTTGGGGAGTGGGAGTTACTGGCATTGTGTTACTACTTATCGATAGAGCTGATGAGACACTGCTCTGTGCAGGGTGTTTGGTGTACCTGCAAGGGTGTGAAACGTGGCAGTAGCAGAAAATGAGGCTAAACTGAGTAGCAGTTCAGCTGCATACAGTACATGTCCATGTGTGATTCCCCATGAGGCAGTCTGGAGCAAGCTTTAGACCTTTCCCAACAGTTGTAAGTCAAATGTGACCAGGTGAATATTTTGGAGCTACAGGGTTTATTAGCATGTAAGTAACAGCTTTGCAGACTAATGCCAGCGATGCACATAATAAACCAAGAAAGATTTTGATTAACTACATAATAAATCAAAAATGTCCAATTATGCCCTCACTGACTTTAAGCCATCAAGGTCTTATTGTCCTGAACTAGTCATCTTCAGCTTATGGGATCAGTAGTGAACCTGTAGACTTCCTGAGGATGGGCAAAACAGCCAGCTGCTATGAGATTTGGGACTGATAAACTCTCAGTGAAGTGCTGCAGGACAGAGGACTTGTTTGCCAAACATACTGCAGCCTGCACCTGGATCGCATCGCCTCATGGAGCTAAGTATTATATGCTACTGGTTGAATTGATTGTAAGCGGGGAAACCAGTGGAGTACCTGTTTACAGACTGCCAGTTTCAGTGCTGAAAAGCTTGACATGTCTATTCTATTTCTTCACAGACTCATTTTGCTGTAATGCCTATGTGCCTTCTTCCAGGGAAGAGTGTTAATGCTGCTTAGGTGTTCGCTGTGCACTTGCTCTTTTGATGGCAAATTGTTTTGCGCCTTGGTACCTCCCTTTTAATACTTGTGTGGCTTTCCCCCTTGAATTGGTATTGGCTTTGGTACTCATCTTGAGCGAACCCCAGCTTCCCTTGGAGGCAAAGCACGTGTTCTGATTTAAGGCAAGGCATGAAAATACAGTTTCTCTTTGGAAAACAAAGAACTTTTTGAACTCGTGCTGGGTGAAAAACTGAAAGCGCTGTGGAGTCTGTATGGCCATGGTACTCTCAAGGAAGAAGGGAAGATTTGAGCCTTGGTGGTTCAACCACTTTACAAATCTTCCTTTTGAAAAAACCCTGGGCCTGAAAACACCTAAATCAGTCTCTAACATGTGCTCAGAGATCTACCTTTTAAAAGGCTGTAGCATTCTCTCTGCAACATCATGTTCAGCCCCAGCAGAAAGGCTGTGTGTTTTCCAATGGGAGCTTGGTGCTGTTACTGCTGTGGGTTTGAAGCTTCCTGTCTGCCTTCTGAAGGGAGGTCACAGCAGGCTGTCCTTATCCCTGGCAGCACTCTGACCCCAGCACGTGCCTCTGGGGTTACTGGAGCACCACTCTCTGTCTTCTGAAAGATGCCAGAGGAAGCACCTTCTTTGTCCTAACAAGTTGTTAACGTTGTGTTCCACAGTATTTTATAGCTCAGGAATTTACGTGAGGAGTGAAATTAGTAACTTTTTTGTCTCTTTGTTTGATGTTGTTGCAAAAGTGCCTTGGTAGTATGGAAAGGGGGGAGAAATTGCAATGTTGCTTCTCAGAATGCTTCCTCTAACGTTGTTCTACACTGCTGTTCACAGCAGTTCAGTTTTGTCTCAGAGGTCTTGCATGAAGTATCTTTCTCTGGAGTGTTCCCAGTCTTGATATCCCATCTCCCCATCAAATGTCAGCCTATTTCAGAAAGATGACCCCTTATAATATTGATCTTTTTTCAGAAGCTTAAAGGTAGACAAGTTGTTGTTGAGATCATCTAGCAAGTACGTGGCAATGGTATGAAAACCAGAACTTGGCTCCCAAGATTTTTATTGTAGTGCTTCAGCTATAAGATCATCCTTCCTTCTCTGCAGAGAAGGTCAAGACAAATTAGGTTCTTCATTTCCCCATACCTCTTGCACCTGAGCCTTTTTCTGCTTCAGTTTGTAGGATTGTTTTCTTCACTGATAAGGGGTCACTGGAGATAAGGTTCCCTGTTTCACTTGACCCTTAACAGAAAGCATCTTTCTGAGCGGATTGTACTCACCCTCTGTGCAAAGCTTAATTTGTCTTCTTCCCACATGGTAACCTGTCAAGATGGCACAGCTTTTGCTGGTACTAGGAGTGTACCACTCTGTGTTGCATGTGGACTAATCATTGTAGAGGTAGATTGTACTGCCTGCAATCGTGATGAATTCTTTAAGGCTGCCATAAAGGATTGCTTCAGCCTTGCCCAGTAGACAGTATTATTCCAGAGCGCTATTAGTAGAAGAGGCGATTAGTGTGTCTTTAAATGAATGGTGCCAGTGGGAATGGCATGTTAGGCAGGGCAGCTGCAATCTCAGCCTGAAACACAACCACCCTTGAAACTCTATCTCTACTCCACTGACCCATGCAGGCTGACTTCATACTGTTGACTGACTGTGCAGGTTGCGTCAATGCCTGAAATGTAACTGCTTCCAGGCAACAGGGCAGATCCTGCCTGTACAACTGACAACGCGCTACTCGAAGCAGGGGAGAAATTGCATTTATGCATCTTTTCTGTAGCTGCCCACAGACGACTGGACTCGGCAGGTCCCTTGTGCCTGTGTCCTGGGTTCCCCAAGTGGAAATTGTTTACTTTTCACATTGAATGAAGGTCTGAAATAGTTATAAAGACATAAAAATGTGAGATGACGTTTCCCAAGGATGCTTCCCCACAGAGCCTGTTATCTGTGGGGTGGGAGAATCCTCCCTCAACGAGGGTTTCCCCATGAAACATGCTTCCAAGTGTTACACTCTCAAAGTTGTAGGCACGATAGTCTCTGTGACAGATGAAGCTGGGTCCCAAAGGCTCGTTTACTGTAGCTTTATCCTTGC